TGTTCTCCCCTTTGTTTAGTGAAGACACTGGCTTTTGCAGGAGAGTTTTCAATCACTTGGGCCTCAGTTCTGTAAGATTCCATTTCATTTCACACTCATGTCATGGACATTCTCTTCTTTATAACTTCTTTATATTTTCAAAGAAATTTATAAGAGTCATATTAATTTGTGTTCAAATGTGTTAAATTTCTAAAATATAGCTCAACACAAATGATACATTTTGAAAGAAATAAGACTCAGAAACAATAGCTCTAGCTGATGTCATTGTCTCCATCTCCCTAGTGCATTTAAAAAATTCACACACTTTTAAAGGATTTACACAATTGACAATAATCTTGATTTCATTGATATGAAAATTTTCTTCTCTGTCACTTTCAGTGTGTCCATAGTTCACATTTATATGCACGCCCTTGTGCATAAAATGTTAACATTGTTTGATCCATTCTTTCTTATTTCTGTCTTAACTTGTTTCTGTTATTCTTATCAGTTACAGAAGCTGCTATATACACACATTAGGGTTGTCTCTGTGTATTGGTCTGTGTTCTTTTTAGATAAATTCTAGTTCAGATTAACTTTTAGTAACACCCAGGCTCTACTGTTTACTTGATATTTGACAATACATTCTCCAAAAAGAGGAAAAATAATATTATTGTTCTCATATTATTTATGTGGTTCAGGTGATACTACGTAACATACTATCAGAACGATATCTAGTACATTGTACATTTTCAAAAAGGATTGCTGTTGCCACACTTACTGTGCTATTAGAACCTGTCATTTCCACAACTCTTCCAGCTCAAAGTCAACCACGGATTCTTCCCTTTTGTTCTACCTCTTTGCTGTTCCAGTGTGTGGTCCTTGTACCAGAGGCTTTACCATCATATGTTAAAAATGAGATTATTAAAAATGTGGAAATCCATGCCACACCTCAGAACTCCTGAATCAGAATCTGCAAATTAACACATCTCCAGTTCATTGAGAAACAATTAAAACTTGAGAAGTACATTTCTAACTCGCCATCACTGTGAGACAAAATCAACACTTATCCTGGCTCAAAGATGAATATGCCTGTGTTGATGCCTTAATTTTATAATTTATCTACCACAGGTCTCTACTGTGGTTTTGTAGATCATATGTCATCCTATTTCCTCAGGGTTAGAGGTCATATTATAGAATATTACTTTGTTAAAAACTATTAATTGCGTATTTCATGTCACTCTCCTAAGTCATAATCAGATCCCTTTAATCTCTCATTTCATATTGGGTCAAGCTATGCACTCTGCCCAGAGATACTTGGTAAATGTGTGTGTGTTTTTAATTTCAGGGACTGTTGACCTTCAGGGATGTGGCCATAGAATTCTCTCAGGAGGAGTGGGAATGCCTGGACCACACTCAGCGGGAATTGTATAGGGATGTGATGTTAGAGAACTACAGGAACTTGGTCTCCTTGGGTGAGGATAACTTCCTTCCAGAATTCATAATCCACTCTCAGAGTTTTGATCCTTTTGTCTGTAAAATGTTTTCTGAGAGCTTTTGCTTCCTATGATATATTTTCAGCTCCCTGCTTTCTTGGAAAAGCTGGGGTGTTGTTAGTGTAGAAAAGAAAGTCTTCATGATGTTTCACTTCACATAACATCACTTCATGATGTTATGACTTTCACCTTCCCCATTCTTGAGGGGATCTGCATCCTTTTCTCCAGAATTAGTAGTAGTTCTATAAATTCAGTTCTATAAAATAGTGTTGCTCTCATCTTGAGATCCGTTTTTAACCTCTTATTTTTCAGTCAGTAGTACTTGGAAGTGGAACTCAGAGTCTGAATATTTTAACTGTTGCCTAGTATAGGAAAGTTGTTGTCCAGAAACATTGTTTGGGAAATTATTTTCTAGACTATCCTAACATTCTACAGTGTTCCCTCTTTTCACTTGGGCACAATACTTAATTGGAAATTGGAGAATCTCCAGTAAAACTCATGTTTCTTTATCTAATAACCAGGTCTTGTTGTCTCTAAGCCAGACCTGATCGCCTTTTTGGAACAAAAGATGGCTCCCTGGGATGTGAGGAGAAAGGAGACAATAGCCATACACCCAGGTAGGTGGGAATGAATGAGGCAGATGACACAGATGAGAGGTGCAAAGGTCAAGGAGGACGCCAGAACTTAAAATGTGGTTTAGGAAGATCTGTTTCAATGGAAATGAGTTTTGAGAAGGCTAGGTTTATTTCTGTTGCTGTCATAGAGGGTCATCTCCTGCCCAGCTCTTATCATGGTCTTAAATCTTCTAAGGATTCTCCTTCTGCTCCAGT